CAGCTCCTGCTTTGCTCCTAGTACTGCCAGTGGTCCATGTGGGGACCAGAACCCTCTCCAGGGACAGGGAACTGAGTGACCTCCTGACTGTCCCCTTTGCAACCTCAACCCTGGCTATGCAGAGGACCCACCCAAGGAGCTCTTCCAAAATACAACTTGGCCTCGGCCTCACCCCCAGAAATTTTTATTTAATTAGTCCAGGGGTGGGGCCCAGGGCATCAGGATTTTTAAAAAGCTTCCCTGGTGATTCTGCTCTGCATCTGGGGTTGTGAAGTCACAAGGCAAGTGAGTGTATCACTGTACTGCTGGCCACGGCATCATCTGCAGAATGAACAGAGCTGGCCTTGGGTAGTGGATGGAGTAACACCAGAAGGCTGAAACCAGTGGGGACCCCCTAGCATAACCACCAGCCAGGGCTTTAGCCCCCCCCGCCTGGAGAGTGCCCACCTGGAGCAGCCTCTGCCACTTCTGTGAGGGCCCAGGACAGAGACCCCTGACCTTTCTGCCCTGCTGGGCCAGGAGCTGCTGTGTCTCAAGGAAGAGGAGATAGGGTGGACTGGCCCGGGCCCTGAGCTTCCTCGGACACGTCAGCGAAACCAGAGCCAGCCATCCTGGCCGCCGGCACAGTCCCGCCTGCCCAGGGGGGTTGGCAGACTCCTGAAGCTGGGCTGGGAGCCAGAGGTCCAGAGCCACAGGGTAGGACCTGCAGCATCTGGCATGGGAGGGGTGTGTAGGCCCTTGTCTGTCTGTCTGTCTGTCTGTCTGTCTGTCTGTCTAAGCCTATCCCCCACCCAGCCAGGCACATGGCCTTCCCTGGGAGCAGTGGGATGTGCCAGCCTGAAGGCTGCCATGGTCGCTCAAACGCCAGGTTCCACCCCAGCCACGCCCCCCACTCGCCCATCCCTGCTTGACCCCGGGCATGCATGAGAGTGGGTGCCTGCTGTGTGTCACTCACACAGGGAGGGGGCAGCCTGGGTCCCCCTGAGAGCCGAGGTGACTAATGCCTGGTCTTCCTCATCGACAGCACCCCTCCCTGAGATCATATGCTAAAGGGGGCTGGCCAGAGGATCCCCCCACACACCTCCTTCCCCACCACCCCAAGGCCGGAGGGCTGCCTGGGTGTGCAGACCTGGACCCTGGGCCCAAGCGCCTCCTGTCTGTACAAGGCTAGTGCAGAGCCCCTCTCCCGGTGGCACCCTCCCCGGGAGGAAGGCAGGGCTCCAGTTTTATGGGCGACACACTCAGTAGCTAATGCTTACTGACCACTTAGCATGTACTCCCCACATAAACTAAGCCCCCCAGAGCAACAGGTGTTATGGTCAGCCCCCACTTCACAGATGGGAGCTGCAGTGGGGCACTGTGGCCCTTGGCAGTTGGACCCCAATGTCCCACCCCAGCCACTGTGCCTTGGAGGCAGCAAGGCCAGCAGGGCCCAGGCCTCTGAGACCTGCCTCTTCTGCCACACCATGGAGGGGCCAAGCCAAGGTGGGGTTGAGGAGTCCAGGCAGAGGAGGAGGCCCTGGACTCTCATCACTGTTGCCCTCCCACCCCCACCACCCCCCAAATCCCAGGGCTGCCTCCAGAACTCTTCCCACACCCTTTGCAGAGGCAAAGGTCTCACCTCCCTACCTCGGTACTGCTGATCAGATATCAAAGCCCAGGCCCCTGGTCCTGTCAGAGCCCCTGTGATCACCAGAGGGTGCAGGGCAGCAGCGACCCCCAACAAGACACCCCACCCCATTGTGCACACACCCCAGACGGGAAGAATGTCTCCCAGAACTTGTGAAAAGTGCTTCCCAATTAAAAATAAACAGAATAACAAAAAACTACAATTCCAGAGAGTTATGAGGACGGGACTGCTTATGCCAACTCAGTAGGGGAGAAACTGAGGCCCACAGTTGGGAAAGGACTCGGGAATCTTATTTAGGGGCAGAACTTGGGCCTGAACTCAGGTCTCTTGTCTCCTGCCACCCCGCTGCCATTCCTTTCGTGGTCAGCCTTCTCCTCTTCAGTCCCATCCCAGGGCTATCTGATTGGTTCTGGGTGCCTGGAACTGCCAGCCTGTGGCTTACAAGCTTGGGAGTTTTCCAAAGCCCCAGTGCCAACTCCTGCCTCAGTTTCCCGTTGCTGGGTGGGGTGGAGCTGAGCTCATCCCTGCATCTTGCAGGGCTGGGAAGGTTAGCTGCTGCTTGCAGGGGTCTCTCCTATTCTTACCCAGCCCCCTCTCCCCACCGAATAAGATTCACATTCCATAGTTTATTACCTGTCAGCCGGATTGCCATCCTGTGGCGACAGACCCACAGCGTCCCTCCCTCTTTAATGACTTTACTGATGAAAGGCCCGACAGGTTATGAAGCCAAGAGTCTATGGCTTGCTCCTCCCTCAGTGCAGAGTAGGAAACAGCTCCCCAGCAGGTACACCAATCTGGAGGATGGCGCTCAATGCTCCACCTGCAGCCTCCCCTCCAGCCCTGAAACGTCCCCATGTACAGACAAACTGAGACAGTGCTGAGAGTAAAGGTGCTGTCTGCAGCCCGCGCTTGGACACCTCTGCGCCCAGGGCTGCCTGCCTGGAGTGAGAGCTCTTAACCGTGACCTTATACGAAGCCCAAGAGGAGCTGAAGCTACAGCGGTGGCCAGGCTGGCCGTATGTAGCCTCCCCTCCTGCCCTGGAGCCTGGCTGCTCCTTTCCTGACCCTGGCCTGGCCCCACTGGGAGGGCTGATTCAGGGGAGGCGGCCTCACCCCCCACGTGGATGTGGGGTGGGCGGGGATCACTCACAGCCCACATCTGGAGGCCAGGCCGCACCCACTATCCTCTGAGTCAGCGAGGGTGGAGCGGGTCCCCTAGGGGAGGACAAGGCTGGGGGTGAGGCACGCAGGGCCTTAGGTCACCAGGCGCAGAACCCCCACGGGATGGGCACCAGCAGGGCCAGGGATGCACGAGGCCTCCTGCGTGCGGACCAGCAAGGCCCTGCCCAGGCTGTTTGCTCAGCAAAGATGAGCTGAGTGGGCCCAGAGACACCTGGAGCAAAGGTCTCCACCTGGGGGGGTGTCAGTACAGTCAGGATCTTAGAGAGCCCACTACAGGGAGGGGGGCACCTGCTGGGGGTCAGGGAGGCCTTCAGTGTCAGGGTTAGCTGGCCTCTGAAGGGTGTGCATTGCTGTTAACTAGTGAGGGGCTTACTAGTTAACTAGTCAGAGGCTCATGGGAGAGACGCTTCCCTGGCAGAGGGACATTGCAGGTGGGCAGGGCCCAGGGGCCCAACATGGGTGATGAGACCTCCTCCCTTTACCTACAGCTGGCCCCAGATCCCAGTGGCCACCTCGCCAGTGACTTGTCTGTCCTGTCCTGGGACCACCGGCTCCTCCTCCTCATGTTTCAGAAGCCCACATACCTGGGGGAGGGGGCGCTCCATGGATGGGCCTCTCCCCCCAGCCTGGGGCAGTGGGGCAGAACACAGGCTAGGTGGGGGGTTGTTACCTGCTGTGCCCAGATGGCAGCGTGAGGGAGAGGAAGGCCATAGCTCTAGCACAAAAGGCCGTTGTGTGAGTAGCAAGCGCCTGGGGGTGGGGGGTACTGGCCACTGGCCAGGACCAATTCTGGGGACAGGCTGGCACCCCATACAAGGCTCAAGGACTTCTGAAGGCACCAAATTTGAGGGCTGCTCCTGGGTGTGGCCCCCAGGTTCCCCCCAGGAGCCTAAGTGATAGGGATGAGCTATGGACCCACCCTGTCTCAGGCAGTTCCACTAAGAGCTGGGGCCTGGAGTGGGGTGGGAGCCCCCATCCCCAGCAGGACTCTGCATCTGGAAGGTGTGGACTCCTCATCTGGAAGGTGTGGACTCCACCACTGGTGCAGGCCCCACTGTGCTGGCCGTGGCAAGGATGTGGGCTCTGGCTCAGGTTTGCTGGCACCGCAACAGCAGCAAGTCACCACACCCCTAAGAGCTGCACTTTCTCCTGTCACCTGGGAGTGATAAGAATAGTTTCCCCCAGGGGCCGGCCCATGGTCACTTGGGAGACTGTGGTGCTGATAACACCAAGGCCATGGATTTGGATCCCTATATAGGGATGGCTGGTTAGCTCACTTCGGAGAGCGTGGTGCTGACAACACCAAGTCAAAGGTTAAGAACCCCTTACTGGTCATCTTTAAAAAAAAAAAAAAAAAAAAAGGAAAAGAATAGTTTCCCCCTGAGATAGCTGCTGGGGGACTCACTGAGGTAACTATATATGTCCTAGTGGGTGCTGGCACATGGAGAGGATTCATCATCATCTCTGCTGAGGGGACGGCTGCTTACAGCCCAGAGCAGACCCCAGGAAGTGCGGATGAATAAATCTAAGGAGCTTCTGCATGCCTGGCACTGTCTCTGGGGCCACCACGTGGCTAATGTCCCCCCACCTGAGCCCTGGGGACCCCTCCTTGCTAGTTCTGTCCCTGAAACAAGGGGACACCTGCCAACAGCTCAGTGGGCCTCTGCCCCTCCTCCAGGGACCTTCCTGCCGGCCACGTGCTGGCGGGCCCACAGCCCCCGTCCTGGGCAGGTCTGACTTCACAAGTGGAAAAACACAGACCCCATAGTTTCCATGTGAAGTCTTCCTGCTGCGGTCTCTCCCCACTTGGAGGAGGGAGGGATGTAGAGCGTGGCGGCCGGGGCCAGGGCCTGGGGCAGCCAGCTTCTCTACTTACGCGCCCAGGCTGCCTGCCCACCCCATCTCTCCCAGACGCTACAGGGAGGGGGACGCCTAAGCAGAGTCAGAAGGGCCTAGAGCTCAGGAGAGGAAGCCATGCATGGTTGCTGAGTGACCAGTGGGTACTGAGCCCTGTGCTGAATGCTCGCGACAGCCAGTATTGCAATGATACAGGTGCATAGTAAGGGAGTGACGGGGCTGGGAGAGGAATAGGCCAGGACGCTGGGGACCTGATTCATATCCATTGGGCTGTGTTGCATCTGGGGGCGGGGACTAATGAATTCCCTCTGGCCCTTCCTGGTGTGGCTGCTGTCTGGGCCCTTGACCCCCATCTCTTCTGTGCCTCCTCCTGCTTCAGGGACAGAAGATGTGCTCCAGGATCCCTCTGTTGCTGCTGCTCCTGCTATTGGCCTTGGGGCCCAGGGTACAGGGCTGCCCGTCCGGCTGCCAGTGCAGCCAGCCACAGATGGTTTTCTGCACTGCCCGCCAGGGGACCACAGTGCCCCAAGATGTGCCGCCCGACACGGTGGATCTGTATGTCTTTGGAAACGGCATCACCACTCTCGACGTGGGCAGCTTTGCTGGCCTGCAGGGCCTGCAGCTCCTGGACCTATCACAGAACCAGATCGACAGCCTGCCCAGCGGGGTATTCCAGCCCATTGCCAACCTCAGCAACCTCGTCCTGACCGCCAACAGGCTGCGCGAGATCACCAACGAGACCTTCCGTGGCCTGCGGCGCCTTGAGCGCCTCTACCTGGGCAAGAACCGCATCCGCCACATCCAGCCCGGCGCCTTTGACACGCTCGATCACCTCCTGGAGCTCAAGCTGCAGGACAATGAGCTGCAGGTGCTGCCCCCGCTGCGCCTGCCCCGCCTGCTGCTGCTTGACCTCAGCCACAACAGCCTCCCGGCCCTGGAGCCCAGCGTCCTGGACACCGCCAACGTGGAGGTGCTGCGGCTTGCTGGCCTGGGGCTGCGGCAGCTGGATGAGGGACTCTTCGGCCGCCTGCGCAACCTCCACAACCTGGATGTGTCCGACAACCAGCTGGAGCGGGTGCCGCCTGTGATCCGTGGCCTGCGGGGCCTGACGCGCCTGCAGCTGGCTGGCAATACCCGCATTGCCCAGCTGCGGCCCGAGGACCTGGCTGGCCTGGTCGCCTTGCAGCATCTGGACCTGAGCAACCTGAGCCTGCAGGCCCTGCCGAGCGACCTTGTGGGCCTCTTCCCCCGCCTGCGGTTCCTGGCAGCTGCCCGCAACCCCTTCAACTGTGTGTGTCCCTTGAGCTGGTTTGGCCCCTGGGTGCGTGAGAGCCGTGTCATGCTGGCCAGCCCCGAGGAGACACGCTGCCACTTCCCGCCAAAGAACGCTGGCCGGCTGCTCCTGGAGCTTGATTATGCTGACTTCGGCTGCCCAGCTACCACCACTACAGCCACGGTGCCCACCACGAGGTTCGCGGCATGGGAACCCACCCTTCCACCATCCAGCTTAGCTTCCACCTGGTTGAGTCCCACAGAGGTGGCCACCCAGGCCCCCAGCCCACCATCCACTGCCCCCCTGACTCTGGGGCCTGCCCCCCCACCCAAGGACTGCCCAGCGTCCACCTGCCTCAATGGGGGCACATGCCACCTGGGGGCAGGGCACCACCTAGAGTGCCTGTGTCCTGAGGGCTTCACAGGCCTATACTGTGAAAGCCGGGTGGGGCAGGGGACACGGCCCAGCCCCACACCGGCCACACTGAGGCCCCCAGGGCCCCTGCCCCTCAGCATTGAGCCGGTGAGCTCCACCTCCCTGCGCGTGGGGCTGCAGCGCTACCTGAAGGGCAGCACCGTGCAGCTCAGGAGCCTCCGCCTCACCTACCGCAACCTGTCGGGCCCTGACAAGCGGCTGGTGACACTGAGGCTGCCTGCCTCACTTGCTGAGTACACGGTCACCCAGCTGCGGCCCAACGCCACCTATTCCATCTGCGTCATGCCCTTGGGGGCTGGGAGGGTGCCTGAGGGCGAGGAGGCCTGTGGGGAGGCCCGCACACCCCCAGCTGCCCACTCCAACCACTCCCCAGTCACCCAGGCCCGCGAGGGCAACCTGCCACTCCTCAATATTTGTTTTTTTGTTTTGTTGTTTTGGTCAAAACTGCACTTACGTACAGACTGTGGAGGAGCAGACAGTAAAAGAAACAATTGCAGCATCAATGTGAGTAAGAATCATTGAAGTGTGTGCGGCGGGGCCGGGCTGCAGCAGCAGCCGCTCAGGGCAAAGGGCAGGTGGGGCCAGGGGCTGGGCCCCTGGAGCTGGAGGGGGTGAAGGCCCCCTTGGAGATAGGCCCCAAGGCAACTGAGGGCAGCCGGGAGGCCCCACTCAGTGGGCCTGAATGTGAGGTGCCACTCATGGGCTACCCAGGGCCCAGCCTCCAGGGGCCCCTCCCCGCCAAGCCTTACATCTAAGCCTGCTAGTGATGGGGCAGCCAGCGCCCCCTGCTGCCAACACCAAGGAAGTTCTCAGTCTGCACCACGGGGACATGTGCACAGCGGGGCTGTGTGACCGAAGCCAGTCCCTGGCCCTCCCTGAATGTCAGTTGCATCTGCGAGATTCTACGACCCAGGTGAGGAGCTCTAACATCTCCCAAGCCTCTGAGGATGGCATCTACCCCATCCTCTGCAATATGCAATCCCTGGGGTGGGGCGTGGCGGGTCCTGCTGTGCTGGTAACACAGGCCGGGGCCCTGCTGGGCTCCCCCACCCCAAGGAGACTTGGGGGCCAGAAAAGGAAGCGCCCAGGAAGAGAGCAGAGAGAGAGTGGGGTGGGGCACAGACCATGTGGCCCCAGTCTCAGCCCCAGAAAATGAAGGAACAAAAGAAACTGAAAAGGAAGATGCTATAGGAACATGTTTTGCTTCCATTGTTTTGTTTTTTAAAGATATTTATAAAAGATCCTTTCCCATTTATTCTGGGAAAATGTTTTTCAAACTCAGAGACAAGGACTTTGGTTTTTGTAAGAGAAAATGATATGAAGGCCTTTTGTAAGAAAAATAAAAGATAAAATGAAATGTTTCCCAGGCTCAGCCCCAGGGTACATGGGCTGGGGTGGGGGGTCAGGTGGAGGTTGTACAGGTACAGCCCTCTCTGTAGGGAAGCCAGGCAGGACCTCTCTCCCAAACAGGCATCAGGCCCTGGTCAGCACCCCCTAGGTGAGGCAGGCTGCTGCTGAGGGCCACACCCCAGAGGGCAGTACTCCCAGGTGTCCTGAGCTGGATGGTTTCTACCCCAGCCTTGACAGGAGGTGAGGCTGCAGCCCAGGCAGGAGGGCTGTATCCAATCTGGGGAAGAGGACCGGTCAGGGCAGCCCCACGTTTCTGCCAGCAGGAGCTGCAATGCCTATAAGTGAGGCTGGGAGGGTCCTCAAGGAGGTCACACACTCCTCGGGGGCGGGTCTGACAGGTGGTTCCCCGCCTGCCTTCCTCTAGGGAGGGGGTGCCTTGAGCTGTCTCATTCTGTGTCCTCATGAACGGTCCTGCGGCTGGGCGGCCTCCAGAACCTTCCTGCAGGGTCCTAGGCTGGCCAGGTGGTATGTGTGGCCCCAGCCCCTCCCTGCTGTCCCTGCACTGGGAAATCCCCCTCCCTGCCTTCTGCCCCCAGTTGTAAAGAAGGGCCTGGGGGGCAAGGGAAGCATGGGTCACCAACAGCGAGAACCCCTACTGGGTGGGGAATGGGGGGAGCCCCGAGCCAGAGCTGCCAGGAGCAGGCTCAGGGACTGGACCAAAGGGCCATGTCCGACTTGGTCGATGGTGCCAGGCTTGGTGGCCTTAGGATGCCCCTTTATCCCATGCTCTAGGGATGTGCCCAGGCTTTCCAAAAACCCCGGAAGTGGGAGTATTTTCCAGGCAGGCCATAGGCTGTGGTGGGGGCAGGGCCAGGGATGCTGAGTGCAGCTGTGGCCTGGACTGGGGTACTGGGCGCTTGGGAACAGTGACAGGTACACAGACCTTTTCCTATTACCCTCAGGGGATGGGAGGGGAGAGGCCCAGCAAATGCTGGAGCCAGCCTCCCAGAGGCCCTGGCCCCCACCTCACCCCTGGCGGGAAGGAGGCAGCCTGGCCAGGCCTAGGGGGCAGGCCTGCGGCTCAGGGTGTGGATGTCAGCGCCAAGTCAGGCCTGGCCACGCGAGGCTCTGGATTCAATTAGCGGCTGCTCAGGGCTCTGGTACGAGGAGGGAGGAGGCAGGCGGTGGGTCATGGCAGGCAGTGGGTGGTAGCAGGGGGCTTGGGCGGGCCCCTTCCTCCTGAGGTGGCGGTGGTGGCAGTGGCAGCCCAGGTGGATTTCCTGTAGGCCTGGGTCCTATTAGGGGAGCGGCTACGGCCAGGCCTGCCCTCCCCCTTGGCAGCCCTGTCAAAGGGGCCTTTGTGGGCCTGTGGGCCACTGCTGGGGCTGCTGCCGAGGCCGCTGAATAAATGTTTTTGCTGCAAAGCAAACCTGGCCTGGTGGGGTGGCAGAGGGTGGGGTGGCGGGACACAAGGAAACGGGCCCTCCCAGGAAAGGTCTTCAGAGTGTACCAGCAGATCGGAGGCTGAGGGATGAAGGGAGAGCCAGGGCCAGCAGAGGCCAAGCCAAGATGCAGCCCCCACCGAGGACAAGTGGCCTACACATGCTCTCATTTCATGCCCCGTGACCCCCTTTGCAGAAGAGGAAGGGCGGCTCAGAGAGCTGAACCAACAGGTTGCTCCTGGGATCCCAGTAACCTGCGCTGGCCCAGGAAGGGGCTGCCAGCCCTGGGGGTCAGCTTGGGCCACTGCCAGCCACAGAACGAGCAGACCCTGCTGCCACCTGGGTGGGCGGGCGATACAGTTACCCAGCGCCCTCACACGCATTGACACACTCATGCTCCTTCTCCATAAGTGACCAGATCACAGCACCCGAGACAGATGTGTCTCTGGTCTCCCGGACAGAGCATGAGCTGTTCCTGCAGCGCCAGGTTCTGCCGGTCCCTCTCATTATCCCCCCCACCTCCACCCTTCACTGAGCATGGGGCCTGGCACACAGACAGTACCAGCAGCCCTGTGTGGACAGGACCTGGCTCCCAATCCCCCACTCCTCCCGCTGTGGTGCGCATCTTCTAGACACTCCATAAATCACAGGGACGTGGGTGGGAACCACGACAGAGGCCCTGGGAGAGGATGAGGAGGGGCCTGCTTGACCCCTGGCCCCCTGTAGCTCACATAAGAGCACACACTGTTCTGCCCAAACCAAGACGAAAAATCTGTAAAACAGAGAAGAAATCGAGCGTGGTGGAGTGGACACGACTGCCAACCTCCCCCATGGCCGTGCCCATAGTTGACACTTGCACACTTTCCAACTTCAGTCCAGATTTGCTCAGCAACCCCAATGCCCTAGGGAACCCATGGAGGGACTTTGGCTTCCAGGGTGCCTGGGGGGACAGGGGACTGCCACCTCTCAGAACAGCCTGGAGGCTGGCATTCATCCCTGGCGTCCACCAGCTTCATGGAGGCTGGAGAGTCCTGGCTGCTTTGCCAAGGGTGCTGGCCTGGTGGGGCAGGGGCTAGAACTGGGGGACGGGGAGTGCGGGACACTGGCCTGGCCGCCCATCTGGGAGTGATTTGAGAAATTCCAGTCCTTGCTGGTCCTGCGAGGCTATTCTTAACTGCTGTAATTACAGGGTCAGCCTTGGCTGGTGGCACCATGGGGTCTGGGCATCATGAACTCCTTCAGGGGCCATGCCGGGGCTGGGCAGAGGATGCTGGGGGCAGGGGCTGTTATGGTAGGCGGAGCCTGGAAGGCAGGAAGTGGTGGGCGGAAGAGCACTTGATTGCTGGTGCCTGGTCCCTTCACGCCAACAACGCCTCTGCTGGGGGCCCTGTGGGGCAGGGCTGTACACCCAGGAAGGCCTGGGGGCCAAGATGTCAGGGCAGCATCCGGGCTGGGGGTGGGGGCCGTGGGGAGCCCAAAGGAAGACCTGGGCACTCTGACTCCTCCAGGGCAGGGACAGGTCCTGCTGACTCTGCTCTGAATCCCCAGGGTCGGGAGCGGGCAGGAGCTGAGAACAACTCTGGCTCAGCCTCTCGCCCACTGTGGTTTTAAGGCAGGCACTGGATCCGGCTCAGTCCTGCCTTCCCCATCAGTGAAATGAGGCTTGCCAGCTTCCCAGCCTCTCCCTGAGTGTGAGAGCATGGGAGGGAGAGTCACCCTCACCATTACCCTCTTTGGGGGGAACCCCCTGGCAGCTGCTCTTACTGGTACTTGGGTGGGGGCTCTTCTGGAGGATCTCAGAAGACCCAGAAGCCTTCCTCACCCCGACACACTGCCCTTGCTGCTCCTGGAGCTTGGATAGGTCACTGCCCCTCTGTGACTCAGTTACCTCAGTTGTGAAATGGAAGAAAGGAGGGGCTGGAGGAGCTAGTCAAGGACCAGGGCCTTTCCTGGCTCTAACTTTCCAGGTCCCCCTGCCTGAGAAAGTCCCGGCAAGCCCCTCCATGAATCATAGCTGAGACAGGCTGAGGCTTCAAAACAGGGACCAAGTCCCTGCCTCCCACCCCCCCATATCCCTGCCTGTCCAAGTCTCTGAACCTTCCCAAGCCTTGGTTTCCTTAGTTGTAATATGGTTGGTCATGTGGACTGATGGGCCAGTCACTCCTAAGTGCTTGGTGTGGGCCTCCTGGTGTCTGGCTCCCAAGCAAGAGTGGACCAAGACAGTCTCTGCACAGAGCTGGCCTGGCCTGGCCAGGGACCCTGATGGGTACTGCCACAAACCCTTCTCCACATACTTCCAGGGGGCAAGGATGGAAGGCTGTGGTGCACTTGGACCTCCCCAGGCTGCCCAGGCACCAGCCCCACTTGGGGACAGATCCCAACACGGACCAGGGCAGCATGTGGCTGGTGCTGAGGAGGCCTCATAAACCTCAGTGGAGTCCAAGGCCACTTCCACCTGCCACGTGAATCTCCAGCCCTGCTAGTCTATCCCGACATCAGTCCATGTCTACCCTGCAACCACCTTCCTGTCATAGCCTCAGGCCTCCTTGGGTCCTTAGCCCCACAAAAACATCCATAGCAATACCAAGTACATTCCTGCACCTCCCAACGACATGCCAGCCGGGTCACAGCCCTCTCCCCAATGCCAAAACACACCTGAGTGAGACCCAAGGCTGTGAAGCCTGAAGCTCACTCTGCTGCCAGGTGCCAGGCATGATGGAGCCAGCTGGGCTTATTTGCCCACTGGGGGCTGCCTCACCAGCCCATGCTGGTGCAGTCTGGGAGCTCCTGGAGGGCAGGGCCAGGTTTCTTTTGCAGAGACCTTGCAGCCCAGCTCAGGCACCTACGAACACTTGGTGATCAGCCCACCTTACTGATGGGCTGGATCCAGGGCCCTGGCTGGTGGCATCCTGCACAAGCCTGGACTCAGGACATCATCTGCGCCCTCAGCCCCCCAGCACCCTCGGCATGCTGCAGCTCCTACCCGGGTGAGGTGTCCAGGGTGAGGGAGGCCAGGGCACTGGAGAAGAGCCGGGTGTCCCAGAGCTTCACTTCGCGCTCACCCATCTGCAGGAAGGGCCAGAGAGAGGCTCAGAGAGGCCCATCCCTCAGCCCCACCCCGGGCTCCTGGGGAACGGAGTGCCTGAGGGTGCAGCCTGGCACCGGGCACCTGCCCCAGTGCAGGGCTTGGTGGGGGTGGTCATGCCAGAGAGGGAGAGTTTGGGTTTTCATGTCCTGCCCCTTTAAGAACCCTTAGGTGACAGGGACAAGGGGCGGTTCCCTCCATGGACTCTGGTCCCTGTGGGGCCACCACAGCTCCCAGGGTCAGGCTTAGCTATTGCAAATGGAATCTGCCAGTTTTATGCAGCCGTTGGTCCCCTGGGGCTCTGAGACCCTGCCGCAAGCCATATATGGCCAGGCCTGGAACTGGCCGCCAACTCTGGACTCCCTATAGCCTACCCCCTCCCTCTTGGGGCAGGAGCCCAAAGGGCTGGAACATCCCCAACTGGCTGTACCCTGCTCCCCAGGAGGAGCCTCCTACCTGGTTGAATCCGGTGGACACGAGGTGCTCCTGGGTTCTGGTCCACACCAGCCGGCTGTCCCTGCTGTTCTCGTGGGCCTGTGTGCTCTGTGGGAGGTGAGAGACAGCTGAGCCACCAAGACCTCTGCAGGAGGCTAAGGGTCCCCTAGAGTGGGCCTGGGCTGGGGATGTTCTGCTGCCCACCAGCCCAAGCACCCCATAGAGGGGGGGCGGAGGGCAGGTCAGTCCCATCCCAAGTCCCTGTGGGTGGCCCAGGCAAGGTAGACCGCGTATATACCTTAAGGTTAACCCCACTCCTCTGCCCCAGCTGAGGGCTGCTCTGCACCCAGAGGCCAACCTGCCACCAGGCTTGGGCTCAGTCTCCTTCCCCTGCCTTGCTCACCTCCAGGCCCCCTTCCCCACAGCACCTGGGGGGCTAAAAGCAGTGGCACTTTCTTGCCTCTGCAGGTGCCCCGAGGAGAACACTCGGCCAAGGGTCGTCATCCCAGGCTCTGGTCCTGGCCCTCAAATCCAAGAGCTGTGTGACCCTGGGGACCCCATGCCCTCTTGGAGCCTCATTTCTCTCACTTGTCGACTGAACGGAGCTCACATCGCCCATTCCGCCTACTTAGAGCACATATGGGGGTACGGGGCCTGCCGCGAAGGGCTGTGCAAATCAAGGGATTGCGAGGATTAGTGCTGCCTCCTGACACTGCTAGGGGCCAGAGGGAGGGCCTGGGGCCAAGCTCTGGGGAACATCCCGGAGAGGGCAGAGCAGTGCCCCTCTTGGCCCTCCCTAGTGCTGGGGCAGCCAGCAGGAAGGCTCACTGCCAGAGAGGAGAGGGAAGTTTGTATCCAGGGCGGGCAGCTCTGTCCCCCCAGGTTCTGGCAGGGGGGAGCTGAGGGGGCCAGAGGAAATGCAAACAGCTCCCTCCCAGTCACCCTGGCCCCTGGAGCCTGAGATGGAGGACCCTGTTACCATAAATAGCTCACCCCAAACCATGGCCAGCTTCCTCCAGGCTTCCCACGATCTCCTTGGGAATGAATGAGGGAGGGAAGCAGCCGCAAGGAGCTGGCCCAGGCCCCCTCCCCAGCCCGTGGAGGCCGACCCCAGCGTGGGAGACCATCGGAAATGGCCCGTGTGGTGTCATTCAAGGCTCTTTTCTCACTGCTCCCTCCCCACCCAGCTGCAGTGGTACAGGAAATCAGGGCTGGAGCCTGAGAACCAGGGCCCCACACCCCGCTCTCCACGTAAGAGGGGCTGTGGGATCAGGACAACGGTCAGGCCACTGGCCAGCCCCGCCCCCGGCACCCCAGAAGCAGGTTAGAGGTGTCATTTGGGCTCCCTCACTCTCAGTGTGCAAATATCCCTTGTGGAAGCAGCAAACCAGATGGCCCCCTTCTCCACACATCATTCATTCACTCAACAAACATACAAGGCCTCCCATGGGACAGGAACTCTGCAAGGAGCTGGTCACAGGGCAGAAAATTCTCAGATAGAGGGTCAAGAACTTGGGTGACGCCGGGCTGTTTGTTCATTTGTTCTTTTGTAACATGAATATTCAAGCCATACACTATGCTAGGTGCTGGGGACATGTTGAACAAAGAAGAAAAGGTCCTCACGACCATGGAACATACATGTCCGGGAGACAGATGTGGACCAAAGAGCAATAAATGACCACATAGGGCTGGCTGGTTAGCTCAGTGTGTTAGATTGCTTAGACTGCAATGTTATAACACCAAGGTCAAGGATTCTCATCCCTGCACTGGTCAGCTGCCAAAAAAAAGAGGAAATAACCATGTTATTACGCATTAACATAAATGCCATGAAGGAGTAAAGTGGAGGTTAAGGAAGTGAGCTTTGGCCTCAGACTGCCTGGGTGAAGACCCTGGCCCTGCCACCAACCTCGCTGTGCCTCAGTTTCCTCATCTGTAAAAAGCACCTTAACAGGACCTACTTTGGAGGACTGTCGCAAAGAGTGTTAATGCTTGAAAAGTGCTCAGGACTGTGTCTGGCACTCATCAAACGTGAATTTTTTTAAAGGATGATAATGGTACAATAAGAGTGTAACAGAGGGAAGTGGAAGTAAGGTAACATTGGAGCTAAGGGGTGAAGCTAGTGCGCCGCCAAGGTGGAGTCTGGGAGGCAGAGGCCAGGCCATGCCTGCATGGCCCCATGGGCTGCCCCCAGGCATTTCTCATCCAGAGGCACAGGCTGGGGTGGAACATCCCTTGGCCAGTATCTCCAACCTTCCTATTTCACACATGGAGAACCAGAGGCCCAGAGAGAGAATACCATCTGCCCAAAGTCACCCAGCACCACCACTGGAGTATCTGAGCCTCCTGCCCCCTGCACTGGGCCCACTGTGATGGACAAGAGGGACCTGAGGCTGGGAGAGGTGACAGACCTTCACAGAGTCACAGCTAGGAGGCAGCAGAGAACACCTGCTGGTCTCCAGCACACATCCCTGGGGAAGCTCCATGGTGAGGAGGGGCCACCACTTCCCCTCACCTCTAATTCCCCATCACTGGAGTGATTTTGAGTTTCAAAACTGGAAAGTTCTTCACTGACCTCAGCGAGCTTGGGGAGGAAGGAGCCCTCCTTCAGGTCCTCTGATTTCACACTCCTGGGCCCAGGGGGAGGCTGCAGCTGAGACCCAGGTATCCTGCTACCCTGAAGCCCCAGGCCTGTCCAAGAGGCACCATGGGCAGGCAAGGTGGACCGCAGGGCCTGCTTGGGGGCGACCTTTGTCCCCACAGGCAGCAGGGTGTCCGCAGGGCATCCTGCTTATGCAGAAGCCCAGAGAGGCCTTCACCACCCCTTAGTCCCCTGACAGAAGTCCCCCCATCCCTGGCCCTGAAGAGAACAGGAGGGGCTGGGGCCAGGCAGGAGGGGGGCGCATACCCAGCATTCCAGCTGTGGGCTGCAGCCAAACACCTCCCCATCACCATGGCAACACTTCCTGTGTGGGGCAGGGTGGCTCTAGGAGACCCCTGGGCTGAGGGGACCTTCCCTGGGGGCTAGACCCATGCCCATGCCCCTCCATGGCTAGGCTCAGCACTGGGCTCCAGGTGCTTGCCCCCAGGCCTGCCTGATGGTCAGAGGGCTGGTCCCAGGCCCCCTCCTGCCCATGAGGTCCCAAGGCCTCACTGCCCCCCAAGCAGTCCTCAGCTATGGGGCTGCTGCTGCCCTACACAGCCGTGTCTCAGGGCCTTGCCTGGCCCCTACCTGGGCTCTGGCACAGGGAAGGTGCGGTGGGGGGCCCAGGGCTCCAGAGGCACACAGACCAAGCCTGATTCTGCCACTGTGTGGTGTGACTCTGGAGAAGCTACACAACCGTCCTGAGCCTCCATGTCCTCACCTAGCAACAGAAATAGCCAAAGGGCCAGCTTTCTAGGATGGGTCTCGTCAATGTGGGAGTAGGTGGTACATGCCAAGTGCCCAGGACATAATAAATGGCCAAAAATGCCATCTAAAAACAAAGCAGGGAGTGTGAATGGGAGGGGCCACCTAAGGGTCACCAGGTCCAGGCTCCAGAAGATAGTGGAGAACACCCTGCCCTCCTCACCATGGGGCTTGGCCTCCAGGGGCTCAGGTGAGGTCAGACCCGGAGATGGCAAAGGTGGGGGGAGGAAGTGCACTCCTCCCTGACCCCTAGGCACGCCTGTACCCGGCGGGAAGGAGGATCTCAGGAGGAGGCACTCCCAGAAGGCCTGTCCCTGAGCTGGCCGCTCACACCGACCCTGGCCGCCAACAGCGGTTTTCCTAATGGAAGCCAGGTGTGGGCCACATGCCCCAGGCGGAAGTGGGGGCGGCAGCAGGGCCAGGCAGAGGGCGGCCTTCCAGGCCCGCTGCCCCCGCACCAGCCATCAGCGGGGCCAAACATAGGCGCCATCCCAGCAGCTGGGAGAGGGGATTCGAGCAACCCACGCTCTTCCCAGGTCTCCTCGCCCGAGCCCCTTCCCTTCAGAGGGCTCCCTCCAGAGCCAGATCCTCTCCCCCTCTCCTCAAGGAACTTGGAGCCTGTTGGGATGGCAGCCACGCCTTCTCCACCTCAGCAACAGTCACCGCCCCCATCCCTGCAGGGGAGGAGGAAGGGGCTGGAAGGAGGCAGAGGAGGGAGAAGGGAATAAATAAAACACCCAGGCCCGGGGGAAGGGGGATGGTGCGGCCCAATGCAGTGGTGCCCAGTTGGGGGCAGGCACGGAGGTGCCCCACGGAGTGCCCTGGGGACCCAGGGGAGGAGAGGGCACCTTGGGAGAGGAGAGTGTCCTCAGGCTCTCCTTCAAGCTGAGCCTGTGACCCCCTTCCTGGGCAAAGGCTCAGAGGTCAAAGAAAGCTACCAAGTGAGGCCCACTGTCCACACCCAGGCTACCTTCAGGCCCAAACAGCCACCATCTATCAGCCCCAGGTCCCACAGGACAAAGAGGCTGGCCAGCTTAGCCAGGGAGCCAGTGCAGCCAGGGTGTGGCCAGACCACTGTGCTTGGCTCCTTGGTCTTCAGCCAAACAGAAATGAAACTGACTGAACTGTTGTGGCCAAAAAGTAGCAGTTTGCTACCTGAATGGGTTTCTTAGTATGTGTGTATGGGAGTCAGGGGGCAACAGGGATCCCCAGCCTACCGCTGGTTGGTTTACTCTTGACTCCAGCTGGGGACCAAGCCCTAGAAATGCAGAGAGGGGGTATCTGGGCTGGGGCTGGATCTAGGTCTTTGCTGGGGAGCTCTTCCCCAGAGTGGGCAGCAGGACCCTGAACTTCACCTTCCTCAGGAAAGAAGCCTCCTCAGCACGTAGAAAGCTCTTTTTAGAAATGTAGATCCACTCATCTTCTCCCTAACTAAAATTATCCAATGGCTACCCACATCCCAGAGATAAGCACCTCACCATGGGTCTGGCCCCTCTGTGACCCTTGTACAGACTCTTGCCTTTTTTTTTTTTTTAAAAGATGACCGGTTGGGCCGGCCCGTGGCTCACTCGGGAGAGTGCGGTGCTGATAACACCAAGGCCCCGGGTTCGGATCCCATATAGGGATGGCCGGTTCGCTCACTGGCTGAGCGTGGTGCTGACAACACCAAGTCAAGGGTTAAGATCCCCTTACCGGTCATCTTTTAAAAATAAATAAATAAATAAAAAAATAAAAGATGACCGGTAAGGGGATCTTAACCCTTGACTTGGTGTTGTCAGCACCACGCTCAGCCAGTGAGCGAACCGGCCATCCCTATATGGGATCCGAACCCGGGGCCTTGGTGTTATCAGCACCGCACTCTCCCGAGTGAGCCACGGGCCGGCCCTTTGTACAGACTCTTGGACAAGCACATCCCACCTCAGGACATCATGCATGTCCCCTTGGCCTTACTCATCCCTCAGCTCCAAGGCCAGCTGTTCAGGGAGGCACTAAACCATTCCAGCAAGAGAAGCCTCTAGCAATTACCCCAGGGGCAGGGCTTCTGGCTTGCCAACACTGAATATTCCGAACCTAGCAGGGAGTTGTGGCTGATGAGGTCCCTGTTGAACGAATAAATGACACCCCATGGCAAGAACCCTGGTCACAGTGTCCGTGCTCAGAACTCAAATGTCCATGCGCATCCCATGCACAGACACAGACCAGAACCTGCTTAGCCCCAGGGTCCTGCAGGTCCAGCAGCTCCCGCCCAGGGTCCTGCTGCTGTAAGACAGGAGGCACACACAGAGGGCTGGTCTCCACTGACTGTGCCAGGGAGGCACAGTGGGGGATGAGGGTCTCAAAGGAGAAAAGGTCAGAATCTCAAATTACCTTCCTGAAGCCACAGGCACCTCCACTGAAAATCTGTGGGCAGTCTGGCTGCACCCCACCCTGTGATCAAAGCTGGGCCCTCCAAGGACCCAGAACACACTTCCCAGGAAGAGCTTCAGCAGTGGCAACCCCCCTCCCATCAGACCTCAGTGCCATGCGACACATCTGCCAGGAGCCTGCCCCGCTCCCCAGCTGCTGGAACCTCTGGGCCCTCAGCCTGAGCTGAGGCTTCAAAATCACCACTGCACCTGCCCTCCCGCCCCCCACCCCCACCCCACTGCTGCCCAACAACTCACCTGAGAGGCCTGGGGCTTTGCTCTGGGATCAAAGATCCGCAGCTGCTTGTCCTGGAAAAGCAGAGAGGAGGAGGAAACAGAGAGCATGCAATTAGTGCCAGAGGGTCTCTGAGAGCCAGCCTGTCTCCATCACCCTCAGGCTTTTATCGGCCCCTCCCCTAGGACACAGGGCTGGCATCCCATGCCGGGGACCCCTCCCAACCTGGTTCCTCCTTCTCACTGCAGGGGGAAGGCCCCCCTTCCTGCTCACTCACCCAGCAAAGTACACTCAGCAACAGTTCACTTTCCTGAGCACCTACTACACACTAAGCACATTAAACACACAATCTCTCTTCATCTCTTCAGCTGCCTTATGAAACAGTGCTATCACCACAGAGCATTCCCTTCCACAGATGGAGAAACAGGCCCAGATCAAACTCTGGGCTATATTAGCTTCTTCACGTATGTCCAGCTCTGTGCTAGGCCCAGCCCAAGGGACTCATGTGACCACGTCATTTATGCACTTAAAAGATAGCATCTAGGCCGGCCCGTGGCTCATTCGGTAGAGTGCGGTGCTGATAACACCAAGGCCACGGGTTCGGATCCTATATAGGGATGGCCAGTTTGCTCACTGGTTGAGCATGGTGCTGACAACACCAAGCCAAGGGTTGAGATCCCCTAACCGGTCATCTTAAAAAAAAAAAGATAACATCTAACCAGAACTTACATATCCTAATCATCCACTCAACAAGGTTACTGATTCACATCACTCAAGGGTCAGGACAGAAACAGACAAAAAAGAGAAAAAAAAACTGTACTGAAATAAAATGCCCATACCTTGTATAGAACGTTATATTTCTTTCTTTTTTTTTTAAAGATGACCAGTAAGGGGATCTTAACCCTTGACTTGGTGTTGTCAGCACCACGCTCTCCCAAGTGAGCCATGGGCCGGCCCTTATAGAACATTATTTCTGCAAAATAATCTTTGTATATGCGTGCGCATGCACGTGTGTGTGTACACAAACATACGTGCATAAAGAACTAGGGCGGAATCTGTATCCACTGACTGTTTACAGGCTTGGACATAATAAACCGTTACATGCAAAAAGGAAGTTGCAGAATAACATGGCACGGTGTGATTCTACTGTGGTCAAAATAAACAAAAATCTCTATTTATGTGACCCTGTTCCTGTATGTTTTGCAAGTTTGCTGAGCAGAGAGAAAGATCTTGACCAGCACAGGCCAGTGTGTTAATGCTAGGTACCAGGATGGGGAAGGTGGTGGCTGATTAGCCTTTCTTTTTTACATTTTAGCATAGCTCTATTTTGTTTCAATCAGCACAGATTACTATTTTCTCTTCTGGTAAGGGGATCTGAACTCTTGACCTTAGTGTTATCAGCACCACACTCCAACCAACTGTGCTAATTTGCCAGCCCTTCTTTGATTTCTTTCATTATAGTTTTATAGTTTTTCTCATATAAATCTTGTACATATTTTGTTAGATTTATTACTAAGTATTTCATTTTTTTGATGCTGATGCAAAAATAGGAGTCTCAAAAAACCAAAAATGGTAATACGAATCTGGGGCTGGCCACTTAGCTCAGTTGGTTAGAGGACAGCCTTATAACATCAAGGTTGGGTTCAGATCCCCACACCAGTCAGCTGCCAAAAAAAAAAGAAAGAAAAGAAATCAAAGAAGATCTAAATAAATGGACAGATTTCTATGTTCAAGGATATGGAGACTCAATATTATCAGGACGTCAGTTCTTCCCAACTCCATCTATAGATTCAACACAATACCAATCAAAATTCCAGCACCTTAGGGCCAGCCCGTGGCTCACTTGGGAGAGTGCGGTGCTGATAACACCAAGGCCATGGGTTCGGATCACCATATAGGGATGGCCAGTTAGCTCACTTGGGAGAGTGTGGTGCTGACAACACCAAGTCAAGGGTTAAGATTCCCCTTACCAGTCATCTAAAAAAAAAAAAAAAAAAAAAATTCCAGCAAGCTATTTTGTGAATATTGACAAACTGATTCTAAAGTTTATGTGAAAAAGCAAAAGACCTAAAATAGTCAACACAATATTAAAAGAGAAGAACAAAGCTGGAGAACTGATACTGCCCAACTTTACTATAAAGCTACAGTCATCTGGACAGTGTGATATGGCAAAAGAATAGACAAAACAAATCAGTGGAATAAAAAGGGAATCCACAAAAGACCCACACAAATATAGTCAACTTATCTTGGACAAAGCAGCCAAGGTAATACAATGGAGAAAAGACAGTCTTTTCAACAAATGCTGCTGGAACAACTAGACATATGCAAAAAAAAAAAAAAAAAAAAAAAAAAAATCTAGACACAGACCTTACTCCTTTCACAAAAATTAACTCAAAATGGATCATATGGCTAAATGTAAAACACAAAACTATAAAACCTCTAGAAGCTAACATAGGAGAAAATCTAGTTGACCTTGAGTTTGGCAATGGCTTTTTAGATATAACACCAAAAGTATGATCCATGAAAGAAAAATCTCATAATTGGACTTCATTAAAATTGAAAACTTCTGCTCTGCAAAAGACACTGTCAAGACAAGCCACAGACGAGAAAATATTTGCAAAACACCTATCTGATAAAGGATTTATATCCAAGATATACAAAGAATGCTTAAAACTCAACAGTAAGAAAACAAACAACCCAATTTAAAAATAGGCAAAAGTCCTGTACTGGCCAGCAAGGAAAACAAACAAACAAAAAAAAGCAAAGCAAAAGACCTGAACAGACATGTCAACAAAAAAGATACACATATGAAAAATGAACATATGTAAAGATGCTCTAGCTGGCTGGTTAGCTCAGTTGGGTAGAGCATGGTGCCAATAACAACAAGGTCCAGAGTTCAATCTCTGTACTGGCCAGCTGCCAAAAAATAAAAATTAAAAAAAGATGCTCAACATAATATGTCATTAGGGAACTGTAAATCAAAACAATGAGATACCACCGCACACCTATTAGAATGGCTAAAATCCAAAAAGTTGACAATAAAAGACATGGAGCAACAAGAACTCTTATTCAGTGCTGGCCAGTTAGCTCTGTTGGTTAGAGCAGGGTGTTATAGAAGCACAGTCAAGCTTTTGGATCCCCATACAGGCCAGCCACCAAAGAAAAAAAAGAACTCTTATTCATGGGAATGAGAAATGGTAAGGCCACTTTGGAAGACAGTTTGGCAGTTTCTTACAAAGCTAAATATACTCTTACCATATAATCCAGAAACTGTGTTCCTAAGTATTTATCCAAATGAGTTAAAAACTGTGTCCACATAAATGTTTACAACAACTTTATTCATGATTGCAAAAACTGGAAGAAACCACGATGTTCCTCAGGAGGTGAATGCACAAATTAACTGTGGTACATTCGTACACTGGAATATTATTCAGTGGTAAATGAAGTAGCTAAGGCCAGAATCATAAAACTCCTAAAAGAAAACTTAAGGGAAAAGTTTCAGTTGAATTCGATATTGAATTTGACAATGATTTCTTGGACATGACCCAAAAGGCATAGGCAACAAAAGCAAAAATAGAGAAATGGAACTACATCAAACTTAAAATTTTTTATTCATCAAAGACACCATTAACAGAGTGAAATGGCAACCTATGGATTGAGAGAAAATATATGCAAATTGTCTATCTTTTAAGGGGCTAATATCCAGAATATATTAAAAACTACAACTCAACAACAACAAAAATCACATAACCCAATTTTTGTGGGGGAGGGCAGCTGGCTGGTACAGGGATCTGAACCCTTGACCTTGATGTTATAAACCATGCTCTAATTAACTGAGCTAACCAGCCAGACTTAAATAACACAATTTTTAAAATGGGTGAAAGACTTGAGTAGACATTTCTCCAAAGAAGATGTACAAATGGCCAATAAGCACATGACAACATGGTCAACATCACTAATGAAAAGAGAAATGCACATCAAAACCACAATGAGATATCACCTCACACCCATTAGGATGGCTACTACCAAAAAAACAAAAAATAACAAATGTTGGTGGGGATGTGGAGAAGTCAGAACACTGTTGGTGAGACTGTAAAATGGTGCAACCACTACAGAAAACAGCATGGCAATTACTCAAGAAATTAAAAATAGAACAACCATATGACCCAGCAACTCCACTTCTGGGTATATGTCCCAAAGAATTGAAAGCAGGGTCATGAAGAGATATTTGCACACCCATGTTCATAGCACCATTATTCACAATAGCCAAAAGGTGGAAGCAACCCAAGAGTCTACTGGGGATAAATGGCTAAACAAAATATGGTATACAGAAACAATGGAATATTGTGCAGCCTTAAAAGGGAAGGAAATCCTATTAAATACTCCAACATGGATGAACTTGAGGATTTAGTATTTCATTATGATAAGTGAAATAAGCCAGTCACAAAAGAACAAGTAGTATATGATTTCACTTTTAAGAGGTATATGGGCCGGCCCGGTGGCGCACTGGAGAGTGCGTCGCTTGGGAGCGCGGTGGCGCTCCCGCTGAGGGTTCAGATCCCATGTGGAGACCGGTTCCCGCTCACTGGCTGAGCGTGGTGCGGGCGCAACACCGAGGGTTGCGATCCCATTACCGGTCAGTAAAAAAGACAAAAAGGAAAAAAAAAAAAAAGAGGTATATAAAGTAGTCAAATTCACAGATATAGAAAGTAGAATGCTGGTTACCAGGAGTTGGGGGTAGAGCAAAGGGGATTTATTGTTTAATGGGTATATTAAAATACCCATTTCATCTTTGGGTTCTGCAAGACGAAAGAGTTCAAGAGATTTGTTTCACAACATTGTAAATATACTCAACACTACTGAACTGTACACTGAAAAATAATTATGGGCCGGCCCATGGTTCACTCGGGAGAGTGTGGTGCTGATAACACCAAGGCCATGGGTTCGGATCCCTATATAGAGATGGCCGGTTAGCTCACTTGGGAGAGCGCGGTGCTGACAACACCAGTCAAGAGTTAAGATCCCCTTACCTGTGGTTATCTTTAAAAATAAATAAATAAATAAATAAATAAATGATTAAGACAATAAATTTTATAATATGTGGGGTTTGTTTTTACAATTAAAAAAATTGCTATTGGTCCACAAAAAGACATGGAGGAAGCTTAAATGAACATTCCTCAGTGAAAAAAGCCACTCATGAAAGGTTACATATTGTATGATTTCAACATTCTGGAAAAGGCAAATCTATACAGACAGCAAAAAGATCAGTGCTCACCAGTGGTGCTTGGGGAGAGGGAAGGAGGGATGAACAACTGGAGTACAGGGGATTTTTAGGGACCTGAAACTATTCTGTTTAACACCGTAATGGTGAGCATCATGTGACATCAGTCATAATTCACAGCATGTACAACATGGAGTGCACCCTAATGTAAACCATGGACTATTGTTAATAATAATGGATTAATATTGGTTCACCAATTGTAACAACGTACCACACGAATGCAAGGTGTTAATAATAGAGAAACTGGAGGGTGCGGCAGACTATCTGCTCAGTTTTTCTGTAAAACTGTTCTAGAAAATGAAGTATATTAACTAAAAAAAAAAACGAAACATAGAAGAAAAATAAGTGAAAGCCTGCTCTGAGTGCACTCCCCAACCAGGTGCCTGGGACCAAGCAATGGGCAACCAGTGCCAGCTGTGGCTGAGCTCATGAGGTGGTCATAGGAAACTCTAGGGAGGAACTGAGACCTGAGCTGAACCTCAGAGGACAAGCAGAGCTTGTGCTGGGAAGGTAAAGGCATTCGAGGAAGGTGGAACAGCATGAGCAAAGATGTGGAGACAGGAGCTTGCTGGTATGTGACGTAGAGGGGAAGAGAAGGTCACATGAGGAAGCAGACAGCAGGAATGGCAGGGCAGTGGGCAAGCACATGGCTGGTCAAGGGAGGGGCTAGCCAGCCTTGATAGCCAGGCCACCCCTCGGCAGGCAGGTCCCAGGCCTCCCTGGCATACTTCAACAGGTCCCCACGGTTCTGGATGGCCCCCCAGCTGCAGTTTACTGAGCACTTGCCACGTGCCAGGTGGGTACCAAGCAGTCCAGGGATAAGTTCTTAAACATTGCTCCACTCCACAGCTTCGAGCTCAGGGGGCCCTTTAGAGACAGATGGAGGTCAAGCAGATGGGGACAGAGAGAGGCAGGTGGAGAGGACAGTGAGAGACAGAGGACAGAGGACAATGGCAGAGAGGGAAGTGAGAACAAGAGATCAAGGACAGAGAAATCAAGTGCAGCAAGAGACAGGATAGAGACCTGGCGAGACACAGAGGACTTTGGGAAGCAGGGCAAGTGAAAGTACCTCCCAGCAGCAAGGTCCACTCCCACTGCACAGAGCCGCCACTTGGCTCAAATGCCAGCCCCACCATGGATGATACTGTAACCTGGCAAGCTCTGAGCCTCTGGACACTGAGGACGACGGCTTTGCTGCTCACAGGGCGGGGCATTGGGGCTGAGGGTAACAGTCTTGGGACATAGTGAGCACTTCATGAAGGTGGCTGGACCGGTGAGGGCAGTAGTTTAGCTGTGGGTCCAAACTGGGGATCAGAGTGGGCACTGAGGCTCTGCTGGCACAAATGGAGGCCTGCGGGCCAGGCAGGGAGTGGCACAGGTCCTGCTGGGCTTACCCACGGCTGCAGGTGCGAAGTGGGAGCGCAGCGGCCAGCCCAGCCATCCACGAGGCTGGCGCGCCCTCTAGCGGCCTCCCACCCTTTCTCTCCAGGCCAGGAGAAGCCCCTTCACTCAGCTGGAGGAGCCGGGAAGGGGGCAGGGAAGGGGCTTGTCGGTCCTGGGAGGCAGAGCTGCTCCATGCCAACAGTGGCAGGACAGGAGTCAGAACTGGGGTGGGGAGGTTTCCCCGCCAAGAGGGAGAAGGGTGGGGGACACTGAAGAGAAACAGTGCACCCTATACACCCCACCTCAATCACGCAGCCCTTGCAGCTCGGTGCACAAACCCAGAGCCCAGCATAGCCAACCTGGCAAAGAGGGACTCAGACACTCTCCTGCCGTGGGGCGGGCATGACCACCAGCTCCTGCCACAGGCTCAGGACCAGCCTTCCCCCTCTGCAAACCACGGGCAGACCCTCTGCAGGTGGTCACAGGGGTTGCTCCACGCCTGGCACCACACTGCAAAGGTGTCGGTGTTTGATGCCCCTACCCGGGATCCCAGGCACCCCCTTTACAGCAAAGGAAGGCGGCAGTGGACACAGGACTGAGTACCCACCTGTCCCAACATGCGCTGACAGGTGCCAGCTTGGGAGTGAGACCGTGCCCCACAAGTAGAACTCCTGAGTCAGGAACCGGGGGTGGGAGGAGGGGTCAGGGGTCGCTCCACTAGCATCACTCGCATGACCCCCTTGGGAAATTCATGCTTCTTGTCTCGCAATGTTAAGCTCTGAGTCTAGAGGGGGAAACAGCAGGAGTTCGCTGCACTGGGCTTTGGCTCTGACTCTTCCTGGCTGGACCCCAGCAGGCAGGGGAAGGGGCAGCCCTGTGGCAGGAGACCATAGGACTGCTGTCACACAAGGGGGCACTTGCACTCACTCCAGTGACCCACCAGGCTGCCTGTCGTCCTTCCCTGCCCAGTTTTTTTTTTTTTTTAAAGATGACCTGTAAGGGGATCTTAACCCTTGACTTGGTGTTGTCAGCACCACGCTCTCCCAAGGGAGCTAACGGCCATCCCTATATAGGGATCCAAACCCTTGGCCTTGGTGTTATCAGCACCACACTCTCCCGAGTGAGCCATGGGCTGGCCCTTCCCTGCCCAATTTTGATAGTGAATGAGACTCGATCCCCCAAAGAGAAGGGGCTGGACCACCACACCAGTGCCAGATGGGCAGAGAGGGTTTCTCAAAGGAAGGTGAGGTCACAGCTCAAACTCAGCCATCCTTGAGTCCTGCTGAGACTGTCTAGGCTGTCTCCTCTGCCTGGGATTCCCATCTCCTCCTTCTCAGCCGGTGCTCACCCCTCAAGGACCAGCCCCAAGCTCACTCTTCCTGGGAAGCCGTCCCCAGAAGGGTTAAACCCAAGCAAGTGCGCCAGGCCTCATCAAACAGGGACTCCATAGGGGCCAGCAGCCCACTCTTCTACCTTCAGCTCAGACTCTGCTCAGGTCCACAGACTCAGCTGGTACCTCTGCTTGGACATCTCCAGGTACCTCCAGCTCAACATGCCCACAGTCACCCCTGGCAGTGGCCCTGCTCATTACATTCAAATGAGGTGTCCCTCCAGTGCCCCTAGACTACTGTGCATGCCTGTCTTACTGGTGGGCCTCATACCCAGTCCACACCACTGCTCAGCTCTCTCTGCCCAAAGGTCTCCACCTCTGTCTCCACCACCTCCTGGCCAGGGAAGTCCTCTCTTCCCCCAAAGGTTGTCCCACATCCGCTTTTAGACATTGCCCACCCCTGCCACTCTCTGTCCACAAAGCAGCTGCGGGAGCTTCCCAAATGGATGCCTGGGCACCTGTGGCATCATCTGCCCCTCTCTTTTTAGCACATGGCTGCTTTCCAGTTGTCCCTACAGCAATAAGCATGGCCCTCATGCACGCAGCTCAGCAGCACCTGCCTCTCTGGGTGCTATCCACCCCCCTCTGCCCTGCTCCTGCCCCCTTCAAGGCGTTGCTCCTGAGCTCCTGCCCAAGGCCAAGCTTCTCATCATTTCCAACCAGCTCAAGCACCACGTCCCTCTTTCAGAGCCCAGGTCATGGGTCACAACTGTCCTCTCATCTGTACTATCCCTTACACTAGTCAGCCACCCCACCAGTACGGGGCCCAGTCCAGCGCCTTACACATGGATGCTGCTTCACACCAGCCTTGTGGAAAGGAAGGTGAACCTGACAGGCAGCCAGGTGAGGCTGGCTGAAGGCGGGGACAGGAGCCAAATGGTGCAAACCAGGGACCAGCAGGGGACGTTGGGGGGCTATCCTCTGGTCCCCATATGATAGGAACCCAGGTAGGTGGGGGCTTCCAGATGCAGGTGTGAGCAGAGGTGTGAGGGGCAGCTGGGGGGCGGGTCACAGATGCACATCCTGCCCTTGGTGCATTCTGCCCCATAAATATCGAGCCTGAGCAGTCCAGCCCAGGATGTCTGCGCAGAGCCCACAGTGCACCCCGTCCGCTGGCTCACCTTGCACACTGTGCCCACAAGGGCTCCATCCCGGCTCCAGACGGCGCTCTGCACCAGGTCCCCATGGTCCACCAGCTCTGCAGAGAAGTAGCCACGGTCAGGCCCGGGCAGTGAGGGAGCCAGGGGAGCAGGAAGTGGGCGGGTGGGGGCGGCCTGGTGTGGGGTAACCCAAGGCAAAAGCAGCAGCTATGAGGGCCGCTTTCAGCCACTGCATCCCACCAAACTGGTCCTGGACCCACAGGCTTCTTCCTCCAGCCCCGCCCTCATTAAGCTGTGCTTCCCTTCAACAGCCTTCTGAGACTCCCTGCTCCTCGGCCTCTCACCCCCACCTAGGCTCACTTCTGGTCACTCCTCAACATACCCTCCACTGGGTCACTCCCACCCTGGGCCTCTGCTCCTGTTGTCACGACTCTCCTCCCCCAGTGTGGGGGCTTTAAATACGTCCACACATTCTTTGAAACTTCTCCTATTATGAGTTGAATTGTGTCCCCCAAAAAGATGCTGAAGTCCTAACTCCCAGTACCTGTGAATGTGACCTTATCTGGAAACACGATCTTTGCAGATGATCAAGTTAAGATGAGGTCATTAGGGTGGGCCCTAATCCAGTATGACGGGTGTCCTTATGAAGAAGGGAAATTTGAACACAGAGACAGATACACATAGAGGGAAGATGACGTGAAGACAGAAGAAGACGGCCATCTACAAGCCAAGGAACACCTGAGGCTACTGCAGCTAGCAGACAGGCCTGGAGCAGATCCTCAAAACCTCAGAAGGAACAACCATGCAGACACCTTGATGCTGGACTTCTGGCCTCCAGAATGGTGAGACTTGTGAGACGATAAATTTCTATTATTTCAAGCCACCCAGTTTATGATTCTTTGTAGCATCAGTGCTAGGAAACTAACACATCTCCATCCGAAATGTGAAGCCTAGGCTGGCCAGTCAGCTCAGTTGGTTAGAATGTGGTGTTGTAACACTAAGGCCAAGGGTTTGGATCTCTGTACTGCCTAGCTGCCAAAAAAAAACCCAAAACAAGTGCCGGGCCCATGGCTCACTTGGGTGAGCATGGTGCTGACAACACCAAGTCAAGGGTTAAGATACCCTTACCAGTCATCTTTAAAAAAAAAAAAAAAAAACCCAAAATAAAACATGGAATCTAATTCCCCTCCTCTTGAGTGTGAGCAGGACTTAGTGACTCACTCTTAACAAAGAGCATCTGGTGGAAGTGACAGTACATGGCTTCAAAGCTGGGTCACAAAACACATGGTGGCTTCCTCCTTGGACTCTCTCGGGTTGTCCACTCTGGGGAAGCTGCCAGCATGGTGTGAGGGTGCTTAAGCACCCATGAGAAGCCCACATGGGGAGGAACTGAGGCCCCTGCCCAAAACTGGCGCCTTGTGAGTGAACCATCTTGGAAGCAGCTCCTCCAACCCCAGTCAAGCCTTCAGATGACACAACCTCATGAGAGAGCCTGAGCCACAGCCACTCGGCTGAGCCACTCCCAAATTCCTGCCCCTCAGGAAACATGAGATAGCGAAAGTCTGTAGTTGTTTTATGCCTCTACATTTCAGGATAATTTGTTCCAAAGCAATGGATAACTGCTATGCTACGGTTTACTCCCCTAGGGTTAACCCCAGCTCTGCCACCTGCTTGCACTGTGGCCTCATATTTAACTCCTGAGCCTCATCTGTACCACGGGACAATGACACCTCCCAGTGGAGCTGCTGTGAAGACAAAAGTCCAAGGAGTCCTGAAGCCCTCAGCACAGTGCCGGGCACACAAGAGGAGCTTGAGAAACAGTGGCCACAGCTACAGTTACTCCCTAGTGACAGACAGAAGGCCTGGCCGCCTTCACCACGGCTTCAAGGGTTCAAAGGTTGGGCTGGGCCCCTAGGGCAAGGCCTGCATCTTGTATTTCACATCCCCCGTCCCCCATGGCATAAGATGACCCCACAGTGGGCACTGGCAGTCCCTAGGACAGCCAGTTACGCTACTGATGGCCTCAGTCGGCAGGGCACAGACCTCTCGGTTCCAGCCCCAGAGGGTGAGCTTAGTCCACCCTGACACTCTGCACAACCCTCTGGGGCAAGCCTGTCCCTCCACTCTGAGGCTCCATGTCTTTACCTCTAAACAGGGATTAGCAGGTCGGGGAGGACTCTGAGCAAGGACTGTGGGATGACATCATAGTACACCATGGGGCTCAGCAGCGAGTCACACATGCATGGTCACGACCGTTCCAACCCTGAGGAACTACCCAGTGCTGTGACCATCTGTCTTGGGAGCACGAGGGAGGAGGCACGTGCACGCATGGGAGGGGCACTTTAAGGTAGCAACGTCCTCACCTTCCAGGCCAGTGGTTTGTTTTCAAAATGGAAAACAATTTCACGGAATGACAGTATAAGGAAGTAATTTAGAAAAACGGAGGAAAACAACAGAAAAACACAGTTAAGAGAGTTGAAACGGACACCTACAGGGAATGGAGAGGGATGGAGTGTTTATTATAAGCTTCGTAAAATCCAATGACTTTTTAGACTATGTACACATAAAACTTGGATAAATATTTTTTGGGCTTTTTTGGTGGCTGGCCTGTACGGGGATCCGAACTCTTGAACTTGGTGTTACAACACTGCACTCTAACCAACTGAGCTAACGGGCCAGTCCTGAGAAATATTTTTAAATTCATGTTACTAAAAATATCAATAATTGCTGCTTGACTTTTTTGCCAAAATCCAGTGGAAAAACACCCACGAAACAATGAAGTGCTGTTTGATGGGGGCTGCCCCGTACCTGTCAGGCGCTGCTGCTTGGCTGCGTCCCAGACCCGCACGGCCGTGCCCGCTGTGCTCAGCAGCACGCTGTCCGCGCTTGGGTGGAACTGCAGCACTTCCACTGGGAGCTCCTCGGGGCCTAGTACCAGCCCAGGCACTGAGGGCAGGGCCTGGCCAGGGGCTGGCAGTCGCCAGATTTTCACCTGTGGTAGAGAGTAAGTCTGTGAGCCCAGAGCTGTCCCCGATCCCAGCCAGGTCCCATGTTGGAACAAGGCCACTCCCTGAGGACAACGCCCTCTGCCTGTCGGGGACACCCCTCCTGCCTCTGCTGCATGGGCTGTGAGCTGCACATCCTGCGTCATGGGGCATGGTCAGAGGCTGGGGGGCATCTATGCGAGTGGAGACCAGGGGCCCCACTGTCTCCTACAGGCCTCCCACAACACCCCAACTGGCTCCCCTTGGGCTCTTACAGCCTCAGAGCAGGTCATTACACTGCTCTGGGTGAACACTCAGGCACCAGTGTGGGTCCAGCAAGCTAGAAAGGCTGGGCTGACCCAGCCCTGGAAGCAGCAGACGGGTCCCAGGCCATGCAGGGGGAGGGGGAGGGCTGGGCAGGAGCAGAGCCCCGGAGGGTGGCTCAGAAGGCCCATGCTAGATGGGTGGCTCCACTCACCATCCTGTCGGCTGAGCCCGTAGCCAGGAGGAAGTCGTCAAAGGGAGAGAAGTCCAAGTCGGTGACCAGGTCTGTGGAGAGAAATGGTCAAGCCTACTGCAACGTCTTACTTCCACCCCACTGTGACCATCCCCAAGGCAGGGACCCCGGCCCAGGGCTACTGAGGTGATGCCTCTGCCCACATAGAGGCAGGCTTAAAGTCTGCAAGGCCAGGGCACTCCTGACACCACAGGGGCAAATGCCACAGACACCCTCCTGCGACATGTGTCCCCAAGAGCCCTGCTGGCCCAGGGCTCTGGCATCAGGAAGTCAGCAGGAGAATGGGCGGGAAGCTCCTGGTTCCTAGGCACCTTCTAATGTGGCATGTCGGCTGCTCCCTCAGTCATGGAAAGTCTGCAGGGGTTACCCAGTAAGTCCCCTTTGGCTTAAGCAAGCTGGAGTTGGTTTCAGCTTTTTGTGAGCAAAGAACCTGACTAGCTCAGCTCTAGGGAGGGGATGGGGGTCGGCAGGGGTGCCGATCAAGCCAGAGCTCCAGGGGAAAGGAGGCTGGTGGGTTTGGGGGTAGAGGCAAGGCGTGGAGAGCAGAGGAAGATATGAACAGGACTACAGGCCTTCACCACCAGAGCGAGGCCACAGAAACATCCCCTGTCATCTGCCTCTGTGGGGCTGAGCAGGACTGTTTCCCTCCCCGCCAGAGGACTTGGGTACAAGAAGTGGATGTGGACAGGCACCCCATGGGAGAGTCCTGGCCCAGACTCCCAGCCGGCAGAAGCAGAGTCCTGGGCCACTCTCACCCTGCAGGCTCCTCGCTGGGCAGGGCAGTAGCGCCGGCAGCCTGGCACCCCAGAGGGAACGAGGTGCAGTAACATGATTGAGTGTGTGCTGGCAGCAGCATCAAGGCTGTCATGGGCACAGATCTCACCAAGTCTCACAATGACCCACCAGCATCATCCTCAACTGGAGGATGAGGACACCGAAACCCAGAGAGGGGAAGCAACTTGCCCGGAGTCACACAGCTAAGAGGGGGCGGGGCTGCGGGTCCGGCTACAGAACCTGTGCTCGTCACTGTGACATCGCGCTGGCTTTCCCAACTGGAGCAGGCCCCAGCTGCCACCCCCACAGCCCAGATACCAGAAACACACTCAGATGTTTCCCATCTTTCTGTGCCCCTGGCAGCTAGGATAAAAGGAGGGCGTGGCCCTGAGCTGAGAGGCCAAAAGGGCCCCTGAAAGAAGGGCGGCAGCCAGAGCTCAGCCTGCCCCAGCATCTCCCACCACCGGCACCTCCAAGGGCAGAATGGTAGCTGGTACCACCAGTGTAGCTTCCAAGGCAGCTGGAGCTCAGCTACCGCCAAGAGCAGCTTCCCAGCAGGGCTGGCTCCTGCAGAGAGAGGCTCAGAATAGCTATATACACAAGGAGGCTACAACCTGCCCACAGAAGCCTGGCCCAGTTTCTATTTGGAGAGCCCTAGTGACAGGGGACTCACCATCTTGCCAACATCACCAACCAGGGGTGGCTCCCCCAAGAGTAAAAAGTATCAAAAAGCAAACACAGAGTCATGGAGACCTAGGTTCCAACTCTGCCTCTGCCACCAGCTGTGTGAATGAGGGTGACTTTCTAATCTTACTGAGCCTCTCAGTTTTCTTTTCTTTTCTTTTTTTTTGGTAGCTGACTGGTACAGGGATCTAAATCCTTGACCTTGCTGTTATCAGCATCATGCTCTAATCAACTGAGCAAACTGGCCAGCCTGAGCCTCAGTTTTCTTAACTGAAAAATGGATTATTTTAAAATCTACTTCAAAAAGGTTTGAAACTAGGGGCTGGCTGGTTAGCTTAGTTGGTTAGAGTACAGTATTATAACACCAAGGTCCAGGGTTTGATCCCTGTACCAGCAAGCCGCCAAACAAAACAAAACAAAACAGCCAGATGCTATACATCAATGAATGGGCATGGCTGTTTTCCCATACAACTATTTACGAAAACTGGCAGCCAGATGGACTTGACAGTTTACAGACCTCTGCTACAAACGCAGAAAGTAGATCGACAGCTGCCTGACACTGCAGTGCCCAAAGTGAAAACGGATTAACCAAAAAGAGGCACAAAGGATCTTTTGAGGTTGATGGCAATGTTCTAAAACTGGATGGTGGTATACACAGCTCTGTAGCTTTAGTAAAAACCATCAAATTCTTCACTTAAAACAGGTAATGTATGGCTGGTCTGATGGTAGTGAGTTATCAAAACTTATTAACATTAGTGTCACTAAAGCTGGTATACAACCCCCATTGCTGAATTTGGCTGGCTTTAAAAAATAATTAAATGAAAAAGAGAAAACAAAAGAAAAATAAAGAAAGAATGGTAATGTTTACGATATGTAAAACTTTTTTTAAAAGATTAGGTGAGAAAGCACAGGTAACACATGCTTAGCACAGACAGTGCTCTCCACAAACCTACAATGTTATTAACCACCGTCACCATCCTCACGGGAACCTGTACACTGAGCTGCACAACTTGCCTAAGGACCTAGGACCACCCCCTTCCCTCACTACAAGGCCTCCCATCAGGTACCAGGAGTGCAGGCCAGAGGGACCAGGCCCATAGCCGCCAAAGATGGAGGGGAGAGACGAGGCCAGCCAGGCCAGTAGAGAGCAAACTGTTCCCTGCAGGAGGGCAGGCTGCCAGGCAGGCTACTGGGCGCCCCTAGAAGCAACTGTGGCAGACAAAAGCTCTCTTTGTGAGGGGCCATCTCCGGCCATGCAGCCGGCATAGCCACCTCCTCGGAGGGCCTGAGCAGTCTGGCTGGGCAGGACGCCTGGTGGCGAGGGGTGGCCCACTGGGCTCCAGGAGAAGATGCAGGGCTAAGAGCCATGCAGGGTTGAGTCCCTAGCAGTGACAGGGAGCTGGCATCAGGCTGCAGGCTGGGCTGGCCCAGCACATCCCTCCTCCCAGCTTGAAGACCTAGAGCACACAGTTTTCCTCCTGTCTGCCAAGTCCAGAATTCTAAAACAGGATGCAGCCTTCTGAACCTGACCACCTCTCAGAATGTATGGCAAGGATGATGGGAGGGACCTGGCAAGCCATCAGGCTGTGGAACCAGGTGAGTGTGAATCCCTAGCCCCAGGGAGGTTAGGGAAGGAGTGGGGAGTTCTAGGCTTCCGGGTCAAGCATCCACTCACCTGAATGGCAGCCCAGATAAGCCACATGTCTCTTGTCGTCTCCTTGGCCTTCCAGAGGCACAATGCCCAGCACACCTGTTAAGCAAACACAGGGGCTCTGACTTCAGGCCCAGCGGGGAGCATCTACCTCCCTGCCCAGGGCTCCCAGAGGAGATGAGACCCAAAGCTCAGCCTTGGACTTTCCCAGAGCCTCCACCAATCTGAAGATCACATCTCTCTGGACACAATGACTGGCCCAGGCTCAGGTCCTTGCCCGGTGCAAGCACCATCCATGCCTCAGATGTACAGAGGATGCTGGGGAAAGAGGTTCTCTCTCTCACACATGAGAGGTCTGTTTGGGTTGCCACTTCTCTTACCTGAGGAAGAAGCCAGCACCCATGGCAGCAAAGTGCAGGGACCCAAGAGAGGTCAGCACGTGGGAGCTTCGGATACAGCTCTGCATGAAGCCCCTGACTTCTTGTTTTTTGTTTTTTTCTTTTTTGGTGGCTGGCCAATACAGGGGATCCAAACCCTTGACTTTGATGCTATAACACCACCCTTTAACCAACTGAGTTAACCAGCCAGCCCTCCATGACTTAATCGGACAAGCCAAAAAGCTATCCATTTTTCACTTAAGTCAGCTTGAGGTCTGAGTTATCACTAGCAACCAAGAGAGTCCCAACTAACACACGGGCTTTTCAAATCTTGTGTTCCTACTGACCAAAGCCACCCCTGGGCCCACAGATGAGGGGGTAGAAAATGGGGATGGCTGGAAACAGTGGTGTCAGTCCCCACCCCCCTCGCCCTCCTGGCCATGCTTTAAAGACCACAACCAACATGGTTTAAATAGACACACGCCCTAATCAAAATCGATCTGATTACTGCATTTGGACCAGTTTGTAGGAGTCGAAGGCCCTGCATGGTACTCACCTCTGAACCCCTGAGGTCACTTCAAGCATCCAGCCCACACTGAACCTGCTCTTTCTCCCTATCCTATTTATGGTGACAATGCCTGAATCTCCACAGCCACATCCACCCCCTACCTGGACGGTCAGAGTTGAAAGCAATCAAGCTGCAGCTTGATTTGATATGGTTCCCACACGAGGAGGTGGCTCCTGCTCGAATGTCATTGATCCAGGCCTGAAAACAAAGAATAAGAAATGTGTGGTGAGGGCCAGGGCTCTGCTCATTCCCAAAGCTGGGAGTGGGGCATAATCTACCTTAAAACTGCACCGTTAGAGATGCATTCCTTTCCATCAAACCCTGTCCCCCCTCATACAGTCCCTCAGGAAATGCAAAATGTCCTTGAAACAGAAACCTAAGTCATGAAGGGGGCGATTTTGCTTATTAAGTCAGTCCCCTAATGAGAGGAAGGAGGAGGCTGTCAGAAGGAAGCCCAGGTTGAGTGAAGTCAATAGGCTAATAGGCTGTGTGCATGTGGAGGGGACTGTTTCTGTTAAGAAAAGAGAAGGAAGGGCTGGCCCGTGGCTCACTCGGGAGAGTGTGGTGCTGATAACACCAAGGCCACGGGTTTGGATCCTATATAGGGATATAGGGATGGCCGGTTAGGTCACTGGCTGAGCGTGGTGCTAACAACAGCAAGCCAAGGGTTGAGATCCCCTTACCGGTCATCTTTAAAAAAAAAAAAGAGAGGACCGGCCCGGTGGCGCACTGGATAGGTGCACCGCTTGGGAAGCGCAGCAGCGCTCCCGTCCGAGGGTTCGGATCCCACATGCGGACCTGTTCCCGCTCACTGGCTGAGCGAGGCACGGGAGCAGCGCCGAGGGTTGCAATCCCGTTGCCGGTCCCCGGTCCGGTACGGGGGCAACACTGAGGGTTGCGATCCGTTGCCGGACACGGAAAAAGATAAAAAAGACAAAAAAAAAAAAAAAAAAAAAAAAAAGAGGGA